AAATATAGCAAAACATATTAATTATTTAACTTTTTAAACGTTAACTACAAAACGTATAATAGCATCCACGATGCATAGTTTAATGGAAAAGTTGAATGAGATGAAATGTATAGTTGACATTCAATTGATTAAATTTCAAACGTAGTGGGATGCCACATTGACATTCCATAGATATAAAGTTCAATGACCAATGAACTCTTTGATGGGAAGCAGAAAAAAATTCATTTAAAATAAGTATTTCATTGATTTTTTGTAGAGTTTAATATATTGTATAGGAAAAAATGCTAGAGTTGTATGAAAAATAAAATAATAAGACGACAATCCATCAAACTCTATAAAGTTCAATGCATTATAGACCATTACGCTCTATAAAATTCAGTGCATTGTAGACGACCTAACAACAAAGATCTTATGGCCACCTTTCCATCATCCGCAAGTCTTGCTTCAAGAATATGCGTAGGGTTCTCATGATCATTCCAACATAATATATCTTGTGATTGTTTCGTCCCTAATAAATGGTAATAAAGTTGATGATTATAGTTAACGTTTACTTCGGTGCCAACATCCTTTTTTTCGGTCTCCCTAAACAAGGCAACACAAATTCTACGTAAAAATATGATCGAACAAAAATTTTGTATAATTAAAAAAATTAATTACTTGGGAGCAGGAAATCGGCAATAGAAAAATCCCTTCGTGTCATGCGTCCAACTGATTGATGTAAATTTCACCTATCAAAAAGAACATGAGAATGTTGTGAACGATTAAAATGAATTATTTTCCGGTTTTTTCTTCAATATAATATATAATAACGCATGTTATGTAGTGATATAATTAACATAATATGAAAACATATGAAAATTTAGGAATGTAATCTAAGATCTTACCCAAGAAAGTTTGTCTGGTTGAACGGTTTTGTCATCCACATTCATAACTTGTAGGGTTAACCAATCACTTCCACTCGAGCTTAAACCATAGGCCAGGTATTTTGCATCATGGCTGACCTCAAAAACTCGTAAAGCCACTGTTCCATCCTCGCTTAGTCCATTTGGATCGAGCAAAACCTCACCTTCTTCATCTAAACTATCCTGCAAAATAATCTTGTCAAGCAAATATATATTTAAATAATAAAAAAAATTGCTCAAAATTAATTAACATATATAAAAAACATAATGATCGATTTTTGAAGTCATTCTTACATTCAAAATAAATGTTTTAAGAGTAAATTACACGGATGGTCCCTATAATTTGGGATAATTTACACGTTTGGTCTCTAATTTTTTTTTTTAACTTAGAAGGTTTCTACTGTCTGTTTTTGTTGCATACTTGGTCTCTGTCTTACCTAAAAGTACTATTTTTCCATTGATTTTTTAATTTATTTAAATAAACATATCCCCAATCTCACTTCCACATCACCCTACCTTACCTTATCTACCCAATCTTATTTAAATAAATTAAAAAATCAAAGACAATTTTTTTTTTGGTAAGACAGAGACCAAACGCACAACAAAAACAAACTACAGAGATCTTCCGAATTAAAAAAATAAATTAGAGATCAAACGTGCAAATTACTCCAAACCATAGGGACCATTCATGTAATTTACTCATGTTTTAAAACACAATCTAAATACTTATAATACATAATGAGTCGTTTTTATTTTATGAGAATGGTGATTCATATTCCTATGCATACATACCTGGATATAAAGAATTGGATGAGAGCGAAGACCGGGATTATGAAAATAGAAATATTTATTCCCTTTTTGAAACGGACATCCGTAGCGAGGGTAGTCATATGACTTGGTCAATTTGTCACGAAGTCTGTTCCTGGAATTGCAATTCCTGAGCACTGATTCCGTTACTTTCATCTGGTTTGCAACAAATTCTTTTACCTCTTCGGAATCAGGATCTTCAATCCTATATAATACACAAATTTGTATAAATTTAGGATTTCGTAGATGCTACTAGTTCTATATACTATCAAATTTATATTGTTGTATAATTAAGATACCTCTTGAAGAATGCAAGATCCGATTGACATATAATTTAGAAAAAAATTGTTTGCGTTCCATGGTTCTTTTAATGAATACTTTTCGTAAATAAAATGGTCCCGAAGAAGTGCTAAAAAAGGTAAAATATAGATAAGACAAAAATAGAACAAAGTGAATTTACCATCGATAAGGATCAGAAATAGCAACACCATGGTAGTTATCAACCACGGATTCATCTCTACGAGCAATTGGGTATTGCAATGGCTTCTTCACAACACGTTCCGAGCCCATAGTCAACTGGAGAGAGAGAGAGAGAGAGAGAGAGAGAGAGGATTTAGTTTTTGAGGTATGCTTTGAAGAATTTCATACGAATACTTAATTTATAAAATTAACTGAGGAATCTATGATTACAAAATGAGGTTAAAATGTGTGCCATGATAACATAATGGTTTTGTTTTGTGGGGTAAATGGTGTTTGTTCCAAATTTCATAGTCCTTTATTTTTAAGATTCTTCTTTGAAATCGTGAAAATGTTGACATTTTGTTTCATTATGACTTCATTGTCTTTTTTCTCCTTATGGCAAAATCCAGCACATATCATATATATCTCAAATTGACGAGTTTGCCTCCTATAAGAAGAATCAACAAATTACGTGCTTCCTCATTCCCACCCGTTCTCCTTATTTCATACAACAAAGAATGACGGGGTAATCAATATATACAAAAAATGGAGAGGTTATATATATGATTTTTGTAAATATACGTGGAATTCAAGATAAACTCTAAAAAAACGCTTGTGGAGAGAAGTGATGCGAGATACATTAAGGTGCTGTTTGTTTTTTCGAAGCGAATATTCATGAAGTCTGCGGATCACCTCTGCAATCCTCTGTAGCAGAAGAAGTGGAACAAACGGCTGCAGCCTATAATAAGAAGCATGTTTGTTTTTTTAACATTTACAGACTGCTGCAGTAAACTGAAATTTAAATAAACTAATTTTATAAACTGAAAATAGTTATCAACACCGAAATTTAATAGTTCTAGTCTTAAAACATTGAAATAATAATAAAAAGAGCATTTAAAAAAAACAAAAATATAAAACTTTTTTTTAAAAAAAAAAAAACTTAAAAATATGTAAAAGAAGCTAATAGTTTTATTCTAGAAAAAAAAAACTAATTTTAAAAAACATTAAAAAAGAAAATAAAAAAAATTAAGAAAGTATTGCAAAAGTTGTCTACAAAGTTCATAAAAAATTACACACGTTAGAAAAAATGCAACTGAAATTGAAAATATTATTAATAAAATGGTAAAAAAAAATTAAAAAAATCAAGTTAAAAAAAATCGTGGAAATTGTAAAAATAAATTGTATCACATTCGTAAATAAAAATTTAAGAAAATCAAAGTTTTAAAAAAAAATTAAAAAAAAAAGTTATATAAAAATTCTTAAAAAACACTTAGAAAAAATGAAAGCTGAAGAAGTTAGAAGAGGTAAGTCAAGTACTGCGCCACGCAGCACACACGCAGAGGTTTTGTAGTCTGAAATCTTCCAAAAAACAAACTGCTGCGAGAGGGAAAGTGTTGCGTGTGTGCTGCACCGCGCAACAATAAGTGGTTTGAAGATGTTTTTATAAAAAAACGAACACCACCTAATACTTCCCCTCAAAGTCGGAGGCTCGATGATCTCCTTATTTTACATAGCAAAGAATAACACGATAATCAATATATACCAAAAATGAAGAGGTTATATGATAATATATGGAGTCCAAGATAAACTCCCTACAAGAGCTCTTGTGGAGAGAATGGGTGTATATGTTAAGTCATAGGGTTGCGGACGCCAACTCTAATAAATATATGTGGAGCCTAAGATTGTTTATCCAAAAAAATCATTGTGGAGAGAAGGGATGCGAGATACATTGACACTTTCCCTCAGAGTCGGATGCTCGATGATCTCCTTATTTCACATAGCAAAGAATAATATGGTAATCAATATATACAAAAAATGGAGAGGTTATATGGTGATTTGTGTAAATATATATGGAATCCAAGATAAACTCTTCAAAAGAGCCTTTGTGGAGAGAAGGGTTGTGGGATATATTAACACTTCTCTTCAAAGTTGGATGCTCGATGAGGATAGATATGGATGTGTTGAGCCAAGGGGTACGAGACGCCAACTCTGATATCATGTAAATATATGTGAAGCACAAAGTTGTCTCTCCAAAAGTTGTGGAGAGATGAGAGAAGAGAGACTCTAATATATATAATCACTTATATTACCGTATCGTACCAATGTGAGATACACTAACAATTTGATCATGTTTAATGCATTTATGACAAAATACGGCTTGTTAAGTTATCATTTCATGCAATTTTACACAACAAAACAAAGAACATCTTGTTACTACTATGTGTGTGAAAGGATTTAACAATGACCACCTTTAACCACAACAATAAACATATACATAGAGAAGTCCAATAAAAACATCCAAAATATATAACTACTAGGACGAGTTGGATGGATTGCGTAATAGGTTGCTTCCCAATTTCCCATGTCGTCATGCACGAATTTCCTCAAAAGTTCAATTGTACCTTCTTGGAGATGGCCTCATATTCTTCATGATTCTTTTTTAATACTTTATACTCTCTTACATTTTCCATTGAAGATCGGGTTCCATCTCCCATTGCGTAGTCTCCTCCTAATGTTAGATTTGCAAGTCATGCAGAACTATATCTCCTTTCTCTTCCATTTAATTTTTTTCATCTCTCCATTTTAATTCTCTCTTTTCTCTTTTAAGTTTTTATATTTTTTATATCTTAAAATAACACAAATAATTTTCAAATATGGAGAACTACACTTCAAGAAAACAAATGACACCAATAGACTCAATAGAATGTATTTAGCAGAGAAGATAAGATATCATACAAACAAAATATATTTTTAGATAATAGATTTTAGAATTTTGAGATCTAATATCTATGTTATATGATTATAATTAAATAAGATCGTTAGCTTATCTAAAAATAAAAATAATTTTTTTTAATAAATATAGTACTATGGAACTGTTTTGTTTTTTTTTTTAATAAATTGATAACATATATTGTTTGAACGCTCTCAAAACATGTTTCAATTAAACAATAAATTAAATTTAACATGTTTTAACTATTCCTTTATATATATATTAATTTCATTGTTGTGCATTTTTAATTTCAATAGATGAAATTTTAGTTGTTATATATATTAAATTGTTTAAATTAAAAAATCAGCACCACATGGTAAATCATTGGACAAAATTTGCTTAATGGTCCATATGGTTTGTTAATTTTTTTGGGTAAAATACAAAAAAAAAAAAAAAAAAAATGTTTATAAACAAAAAAGTCCCTATTTGATGGTTTTGTTTGTGGTTTGGTTCTACTTCGTTAAATTTAACAACATAGCTGTTAATTTTTGGCAATTAATAGATTTACCCTTAGAATTATTTTTGCAGTTTTATCTTTTTACCAAATTACAAGGACCATTTATGTAATTTTCCTTTTTCATTTTATTCAATTATTGTATATTAATTTTTTTAATTACTTTTTTATAACTTTTTTCTTATTTATTGTTTTTTTAATGGATTATTATATATTAATACATATTATTTTTAACATATTATATTTATATATTAGTAAATATTACTATTTTTATTATTCATTTTTTTTGAATTTCTTCTTTATTGCATTAATTCTTTTTCATTGGATTATTATATATTAATAAATATAATTTTTAATATATAATATTTATCTATTAGTAAGTATTATTTTATTAGATTATGAATTTCATTTAATTAATTTTTTTAATTTTTTTTTATTCTATTAATTTTTGGACATTACTCAATCACAACAAATCACTAGCGGGAGGTCTCCAACCCTATATGTGTGTGTGTGTGTGTGTGTATATATATATATATATATATATATATATATTTCAATAATTATTTATGAAGTGAGATCATCATGTGTATTTTAGTTTTTGTGTATTCACATTTATCTAAATTTGTTATATATTTCAATAAACTTATGATTTTAACTTATGGTTTTGATATATATAATTTCCCTAAAAATATTTCTACATGAAATACACAAAAGTGATGCGTCCCATCGTTGAAAATCGGTCGGACAACCGTTAATAACCTTCATCGGTTGTTCGACGGAAACCCCACCAAGTTGTTACACCTAATGCCTCCAATAGCCACCTAAGACAACCTCATCAAAATCCATCGAAATCCTCTATATCTACCACTAAGTTGACCATATTCTGCTACAACCACCAGAAGGTCCGATCCAAACACTCCTGATCAGCTCCTCCATTCATTTCTTTTTACCACCTTGTGTCGCCGTATCATCTCGTTGGAAATCATCGATCATCGACTACAGTCGGCCATTCACGACGAAAACTACACTAGTCGACTACACACACATTGTGTAATAAACCCAAGAAAGCATACAACCTCCAACCAACCATTCATTAGAGATACCATCATCGATGACGACAATGTGAGATGAGGGTTTTCAAACCAACATAGCCACTACAGGTGGTGGCAAGGTTATAGAATTCGTTATTCGATACTAGTTCGACTAACAACCGAGTAGCATGTACTTAGATTTGGTAATTCATGTAGAAATATTTGTGACAACCCAAAATTTCCATTTGTATAAACCTTACAGTCAAACACCTCAATCAAAGTCAAACTTACTCCTGCTAACTTTTAGCACAATTTAGAGTTTGTATGAGCATTCTAAGCCTTAAGCCCTCAAAGGATTGAGTGAATAAGTGTGTCAGTTAAACTTAGAAACTATCAAACAAGCCTTAAGCCCTCAAGAGAGGAGTTTACGGCCAAGACCTTGGAGTTTACGACCGTAAAATCAAGGTGGATGTAAACTCCTTGGTATATATATTGCCCTTAGTCATTTTTCTTTATTTGTACCACTTCTAAGTAGAGAAATCCGATTTCTCTCCCAAGGATCTTCAAGTTTCTCTTCAAATCTTCATATATGTAAGCCATCTCTTCCATCTTTGTGTTGATTGCATCCTTTCTACTTGAATCTACCCATAATTCCATCTTTTATGCTTAAATCTTCAAGATCCCCAAGAACACCAAGAACACACACTAGTGTTCTTAGACCTTAAACACCCAAACAAGCTTCTATATTGTAAGTATTCTTGTACTAGCTTGTTGTATACTAGAATGAACTTGTTTAAGCCTTAGAAATATCAAGAAATCTGGAATGGAAGGAGTTTACGGCCAGGGCATCTCCCAAGGCCGTAAACTCTATTAGAGGGTTCATAGATGCCTTAAATTCCTTCCTAAGGCTTGGGACTTAAACTAGAACCCTTCACATTTGAGCTAAGGTCCTTAACACACGAATTTGGGGAGTTTGCAATAGGTTTACGGCCGTAAACCCACTAGGGCCATAAACCCTTGGCTGTAATCTCCATGGAGAGTGGTCCTTGGTCCGTAAACTCAATAGCAATGCCTTACAACCCTTAGATGCAACCCTAAGTTCTTAT